TTAAGAGGAGACATGCAAACCTGATCACTCAGGAGGCTGGGACCAGCAGAGACATGAGAAAAGCCACAACCATTATTGTTTGGAGGAAGAAAATGGGAGGGGGAGAGAGGGAGGCCCAGGGGAAGCTAAATTACATCTTGGACATTTGATTTCATTTATTCCTACTTGAAGGACTTTCCAACTAGAAATGCACTCCAGGGTGTAAAGCAGGCTCCAGGAAAGGTGGCATTTGTCTGCTTTGCAATGGATATTCAAAACTGCATAGCAAAATGTTAAAACCCAAACTGCTGATTCAAATATATTTTAAATATCCACTTATAAGCAACTGTCCCTGCCCAAGGGCTCCGCTGTTTGGCCAGCTGTATTAAACCTTGATGCATTTCCCTTCCTCATTACTTTGGAAGCTTTTTGGGGTAGGCACTCTCTTTTTGTTCCTACTTTTTACAGTGCCTAGTACAGTGGGGTCCGAGTCCATCGCTAAGGCTCTGGGTGTTACAGTAATATGATTTAAGGGGTTGGAAGACTTGGGGCATTCACATTTTAAACTATGCAGGCATAACAAGCACTGCCAGACAGACTGATGGTAACAAATATGGTCTGCCCCAAAGTAAAGCCTTGCACAGGTGCAAAAAGACCTGGTTAGTCAGTTCTTTGAAGGCCCCATTTTTCAGTCAGCCTTAAGTCACCAGCTCACTGGAGTGGCATTTTTCTTTAGGCTTCCCAACCACTGCACAACCCTGACAGCTCCACAGGACAAGGGAAGTGCTTGGATAGACTCGCCAACCCACAGCTGAATGGTAGTTTGATTAAAATACTGAGGCCCTGAGTTTTCTGTCCTAGCACCTCAACCATAGCCAGCTATCAAGAGGTTACTATGGGGAAAGCCAGCCTTTGGGTGTGTGAAGCACTGCTGTGTACCACAATGGAGAGTTCACAATCTTACTCAGAACTTTTCATTCTTTCTTATTCAGTATGTTAACATATCCAAGCCATCCACCTTGCTTAGTCCAGGCAATTTAGACTGAGGGAGAAAACATAGGTTAAAGGCCCACACTGTCTTTTGTGTGACAATACCTAGTATCTGTTTCAGCCATCCCGACCATTGAATCTATTGTTTTCAATTAAGACTTCATGGAAAGTTTAGACTACATCCACCCCAATATACAGCTCCACTAATTTCACCGGAGCTGTATGGATTTTCCTGAACACAGCTGAAGTCTGCAGCTTTTGGCTGAAAAGCAAACAGCAGTCCGTTTCACTCTAATAATGGACTTAGCTGTAGACTTGAAGCTTCTGGTCAGTGTCAGAGACCAAACCTAAATTACATGCATGAGACTGGGTTTCCAAACTGTTTCAAGACACAGCAGCTTCTAAAGACAAGAACTGAACACCAAGCGAGAGGTTTACTTCATAGGAATGAGGGAGTCAGGGATGAAGACTGCAGAGACTCAAGACTGCACAGCAAGTCAAAGTCCCCTCCCTTCATTGGCAACAGCAAAAGCAGCCCCAAGGAGGACTGCAAGGAGGTCAGTCAGAATAAGCCAGCCTCATTTGCCTACCACTACTACCAGATATAGATTCTTATGTATTCAGACTAGAAGCAGCAAAGGAGCAATTAGGGATGCAGATTTAAGACTGCAGTGTACCAGCGAGAGAGAAAATCTCTGATAGAAAGTTGATTAACGTCTCTTAATCCAGGCTGGCTATTTACACACCACTCTGGATTAATGTATTTCGGTATGCATGGTACCCAGACAGAGAGTGCTTGTCTAGGATTTATCACTGCTCATCAAATGTCATTAGACTATATGGCAGGTAACAGGCTGAAGAGCCAAGGTCAAACTTGGAAGTCTACTTATTTCAGTAACTCCCCTTCCAATCACAACAAACCATGGCCTAACAGAGGGCAATACACAGCACAAGGCATCTGACATAACTATTAGGAAGAAGGACTAAGGGATCTGGGCTGGATGTAAATCACATTTTCTTCTAAACTAGGCTCTAAATCTATAGACTTATGGACAAGGGTTTCTGTAGTTTTACTGGGCAACCTGGGCTTTAGTGGGACTCTGCCAGAACCGACTTGCATGGGTAATCTTGCAATACCAAATTCCCCTGGAAAGGCAGGCATTGAAGTCTATATTTTTAGATGGCACCTTATATTTTGGCAGGGAAAAAAATGTTCTGGAACCCATGGTCCAGAGGCTTTCCCAATTTAAACCTCTTCTAGTTCCCGTTAGGCTCCATATAACTAATGTCTCCTATAAAAATAGTCTAATTAAAATGTAACATGATTAACAAGGTTTTAAAAAATTGAAAATTTTAGTGTATCACTGAGTTTATTGCTTAGCATGAGCTAGAGGCTGAGTCGGATGATTCCTTTCTGCTTCATTCAACTCAGTTAAGCAAATAACCTTGTCTCCTTCAGCACCCCCAGGCCATAGCCTGTGGTTACTGGGGACAGTAACACTTACCTAGTTCAAAAAGAAAGCTATGAGGCTTAGTCTGTAATAATCAGTGTGTTGCAGGCATGTGCATAGCAGGACATGAGGTTTTTGGGATCATATCTAAATCACACTCACTTGTATACCCAGACTTACTCTTCACCGGCAATGTGAGAGCTGGGTGCCCAACAATCAACTGACTGTCAGCCAGCAAGGATCAGCCAGTAGGGACTACACTAGGGCTGGTTTGAGACCCTTGTACAGTCCTAACCCTGCCACACATTCAATTTCAGGCACAATGGAAGCCAGCCACAAAAAATATTACACATTTTTATGTAACATTTTTGTGGCTGACTTCCTTTTTCACAGCACCTTTAATTCCCCGAATGTGTAGCTGGGTTACTACAAGATGTGATCTTAAATGTAAAATCTGCCAAAGGCCTCAGACAATTTTCTGCAGTTCAAGCTGTCAGTTATGCATAACGGTCATGTATAAAACTGCAATTTTGGATTTTATCATTCCCTCTGCCCCCCCCACCCCAAATGTGGTGCCTGTCTTACAAAAAAAGTCCACTTTAAAATTACAGTGGGGAAGCAAAAGAAAAATAGCTTTGCATGCCCCAGTGTCTGCAGTAAATAACCATGAAATCCACTAGAATCACTTAAGTCAGGAGTGTTCAGTTCCCAGCCCACAGAGCCATGTTAGCTGGCCCACAGGACTCCCCACAAGTCCAAAACTTCAGCGTCAAAAGAAACCATGGCAGCATTAGCTACTGCTTCTCTGCTGCCAAGTTTCTGGACACACAAGGAGCCCATAGGACTGGGGTGGCTCAGGTCCCAATCCAGACATGCAGACTGCTCATCCAGCCCAGAGCCATAAAGCTGAGCACCACTGCTTTAAAGAAACCATTAGTTAGTTGAGGGAGAAAGAAATAACAATGGGCACAAATACAATGCAGGAATAAATACCACAGAAGGTAGAAACTGGGTTTTCTGGTGAATGGAACTGTTCAAGATTATGAATCAAACTAGTCATGTGCTATTGCAAGTTTTATTAATAAGAGTATCCTGCTTGGGCAAAGCACAGTGTTGATTTACTCTGCTTTAGTTGCGGGGGGGAGGGGGGTGGAATTTAAATGAAGTATGGTATGTAGCATAATTTTAAAAAACACTGACAGATCTGAAGGGAACAAAAAAAAAAACAAAAAAAAAAAACAAACAACACACAACCAAACAAACAAACCTCAGAATAGTTGCAGGAAATGACAATAGTGAGGAAAGATGGAGATAACTAGCCCCACAGACTGAGAGAAAAGATTGCCTGATGGGTAGGATGATGAGTAAAAAAAAAATATTATGTAAATACTGATGGAGAATGAGGGCCTATTAAATTTCACTGTACTGCAAAGGACTGAAAAAAACAGTAATGGGACAGACCGACCAGCCGAAAAAAAAGTTTAAGTTTAAGTTATAGTTATAGTTATAGGGAGGATATGGACTCACCATTACTGGTGATCAGCGGCATTTGCTGCTGCTGATCAGTAGTGAAGTAACCATCCTTTTTCCATTGATAATATAAATGTTTCCCCCACTGAGGATGAACCCTGCAAAAGAAACTCCATTTCCTGAGCCTTGCTGAGGTCACTATTTTGAACATCTGTAGCACCCCTCTATTTTTTTCTAGAAAGAAACCTTACTTTTTATAACAAAAAGTCACAAGTAAGTTTTCAGACAAAATATATATATTTAAAAATCCTTTACAATAAGTCAGGAAACATAGGAGCTTGCATACAGTTTATTATTATAACTCAGTTCTCAGCTCCCTACAGCTCAGATAACCCTGGTGACAGTGTTTACAACTTCTAATTTTTGCTTTCATAACTTTAAAGCAAACAATACATTTGAGTGTATTTTACTCTGTGCAAATAAGACAACTTTTGGAATCCTTCAGAAGAAATATCCAAGATTCTGTTTCCAGAGGTCCTTTGTTTCTCAAAGATGATTAATAAGTGTTTTCATTTTTAAGATAAAGTGCTCCTGTCCAGCAGAACCCAAAGGCCTTCCAGAGTAAGGCCCATAGTAAGGTTAGCTCAGATTAGAAAAAAAAATAAAAAAAAAAAAAAAAAAAATTGGTCATACAAATTCCAGCTTTCCATGTCCGCTGTACATTCCCCAGTGGACCAGTGAAAGAATTTTATCATTGCTGAGGTCTGTCTGTCTCATTTTATCACAGGTCATGCAGCAGTTCTCATGACCAGTTACGGGCACCATGCATTCCAAGTCTAGCTTTGCCACCTGCCCTTTTTTCGAATGATGTCCGTGGAAACTGTAGTGCAAACGGGAGAGCATTTGCTGCCGCTGATCTTGCAGTCTCTTGTTTTCACTCCTGAGCATCCGCAAAGCCAGCATGATAAGCAGCACCAAGATTAGCCCGCCAGCTATAGGAACTGCAATTACGGCTGCCCTGAACCATAATTCTTTTGAAGAGGTCAACTCCTGAACCTTGGTGATAAGATTTCTGCTGTTGTCATGTTGATATCTGCTTCCTTGTCCTGTAAAAGAGTTACAAAAAAGCTTTAACGCCTTATTTCCATCTCCGCTGAGTTGTTTCATATTTAACAATTCCTTAAACCATGCACCTTATAAAAAATAAAACACACACAACTGTGCACAATCATTTCAGAATCTAACTATACACTATGCATTTTCTGCAAATGGTACCTCCATATATTGAGTTGATCCATGTAAAGAAAACAAATAAATTCTATAAGAATACATTATGGTGACAGTTGATATAACATGGAACATTACCACTGGTGCCTCTTAGAGATGTTAAAAAGCAGGCAAGACAGATATCTAAATGATAATGCAGACATAAAAGCTACTCAGCCAGGATGCATCCCTGCATCCAGCCACATGCTTCTCCCTCTGGTGTCTCCAATTACCTTAACAACAAAATCAATAGCAGACATACAAGGTCTTGGCTGTCACAAGCCTATAGATCAGGGAAGAGATTGAGTGAGTTGAAACTGCTCTCCCTACCTGAAGTCTCACCCTTGGGAGGAGTCAGGACATCATGCAGTCCTCTATAATTGCACATATCTTCATGACAGCATTCCAACGTGGGCATGGTGGTGCCAGAGTGGTTTTGTGCCTGTTTAGTTTGGCATATGTCTGCTGTACTTGCAAGAGAGTCCAAGCAGCCATGAGTAAGTGGTGAATTGGTGTTCTGAGGGTCAAGCAGTCTGGAGAAGCAGGCACTGAGCTCAGATTTGCACATATAGCCAGTTGCAACACAGTGTGCAGCATCACAGTAGCATCTAATTTCACCTAAAAAAGTAAATGTATATACACAAGGAGTCAAATATTGATGTCCGAGTAGTTACACACAATAAATTACCACACAAATTATCAGTGAACTATTGCAGAACAATCAGACTTAGCAGTGCTAATTTTTGGTGACCCTGAATTATACCCCATCCAGCTCCTTTCCCTCTTGGTACCATACCTGCCCAGGATTTGGAACATTTACACTATTTAAATAGACTGATAACCACCTACAATATGCCTATCTAAAGCAGAAATACTTTTAAGATGGAGATCTGGAGACTGTACTATTTGCTAAAATGAAAAACTCTACATGTAGATGATCTGGCATTTTCTTTAAAAAGACACTATTTCCCATTAAATTGTGTACGGGACAGTCTCCACCCTCCCCACCTTCATCCCCTGTTTAAAAGAAAAAAAACCCTAAATCCTGGCTTTAAACATTTGCACTGTCAAAACCTCTGTACCTTAATACTCTGGACTACTGGTGGTATTTGTATTAAGGCAACTTTGCATTACTACTATTAACTGAATGTGACCATGCAACAAAAATGCTATTTTTTTCCTTCTTTTTAAAAAGTTGGTGCATATAAATATTTAATCAGAACTGCTGAATTGTTTACTAGCTCTGGAGGCCCTGCCAAGGTTTAAGAGCTTTACCTAACACCTTATAAAGCTATTAGCTAGAACTATTACCATCGAGAAACTGAGTCAGGAAGATTTTTACTGTGTGAAATTGGACAGCTTTTTGCAATCTCTCCAGAAAGGGGATTTTTTTTCCCCCTTCCTATAAAGAGCTTTCCGTGCAAAGGGGCTGTTTCAGGCAGTGTTAGCAAACAGGAACTGTACGCTTTACAATTAATGATTTGTTTGCCAAAATCAATTTCTTTCAACTCAAACGGAAAGTCATTAAAAAGAAAGGGGGTGAAACTGCGCAGCCGAGATTCTTCCTCCCCCTTTTCGCATGAAATGTACCGTGCCGTCACAAAGGGGAAACACGAAGACTGAACCCTCTCCTGGTTGTATGAAACACTCTCTCAGGAAACCTCAAGAATTTCTGGAGGAAGCAACATAAAAAAGCCCCCTTCATAAAAAAAAATAAAATAAGAAAACCTCTTCAGCGCGGTGCTC